TCCCAGGTGCCCATAGCATCATCAGGGGCTCTTTAAAAGTAGATGCAGTTCTCAGCTCCAAAAAGTCTGAGATGGGCAGAAAACACCTGGGGGGTGGGGGTGGGAGGTGGGACCTACTTCAGATATCTTGAAGGGGTCACGACTCTGGAAAAGGTGGACCTCAAAAGCCCTTCCTGCCCTGGTTCGGGGGAAGAAGGGCCTCTGGGTTCTACATAAATCTGCGTCATTACTGACCCCTTTGAGAGAGGAGAGATCTGTCCTGTGGGGCCTCCTGACTTCACAGGACGACAGTGGTCCTGGTTACTCTTCCTGAGGCCAGTCCTGGCCCTCTCCAGTGCCTGCAGCTGTGGGGGCCATGGCCACAAAGGGGAGGGGTCCGGGGAGCCTCAGAGGGCAGAGCTGGGCTGCAGTGAGGGAAGCTCGGTGAGCACTGAATGAGTTGGAAGGGCGGAGGGCTGAGCCGGGGTCACTCACTCTCCACGTAGAACACGCCCACTTTGTCCGAGTCCGACATGGAGATGTAGAGGACCATCTCGTGTCCGGCGGGGAGGCGGTCTGGGCCTTTGGTCCGCAGGATCATCTGGGACATGTCCTTGAGGTCTGAGAGCCGGATGTACGAGGAGTTAGAATTAAGACACTTGTGACTAGAATGTTGGCTTACAAACGACTGTTACTTGTATAATTGGGACAGTGAAAACCCCACACGTGTGTATTATGGAAATGACAGAAAAGCATAAAAACCGGCTGTCGTCTCCAACACCGCAGGTGACCTACTATCTTTTGGGACTCTCCTTCCACTTGTTTTTCTATGTATGCACAACTTCTTAAACGACATGGTTCCAACTGAACCATATTAATAGTTTTGTCTTCTGTTTTTAGAAAGAATGGATATTTGAGTCCAGCATCCCCAGGAGACTCAGGGTCACTCCGGCATCACCCCCAGCCCAGGACGCAGCATGAGGGCTCCGCTGCTCCGCCCTGCCCCCAGCCTAAGCGCGGGTCCTGCTGGCACCTTCCTTGCTGAAGACCTTCTCGTCTCTGCAGTCCTCTTTGGACAGCCAGGGCGTGTCTCGGTCACAGTTCACCAGCAGGATGGCCCCCTGGCCCTCGGGGCCCCAGGTCCAGGACGCCTGCATTGGCAGGGAGAGAAGGTCAATGCCCTCTTCTCTACCTTCTGGCAGATATTCCCAGCCCCCGTGCAGACCTCACGGGACATCAGAGAGACAGCCCCGGGATGAGAATAAAGAGCAGCCACTGCCCATTGGGGCAGCTGTGACCCGGCAAATGTGAATCCCACGTCTAATGTCCAGAGAGGGTTGGTGTAAGCAGCAAAGAAAGTTCAGGAGAGGGACAGATGGTGGCAGATACACAGAGACTGGAAGGCTGACGGGGCATTCATGAGCCCCAGGTCTGGCGTGCCTGCGCCTGGGTGAGGGTGGGGGCAGGGAGACGTAGGGTGGCCAGAGAAATGGGCAGAGAGACATTCACAACAGGCTGTAAAGTCCCCAGAGGGCCTCAGGGGAAGACACCTGGATGCAAAGACACCCAGCTGTTTCCAGACATCCTCAGGGTGCTCTGGATGGGACCTGCGAGGCAATTCATTTCCTATGCTGCAGCCATAGCGATTTAGAATAAACTCCAGACAGATCATGTTGCCTCCTGCCTTCAGCCCCGTCAAGGGCTCCCTGTTGACTTAGGATAAAGCCCCAGTCTCCGCTGTGGCCTGCGAAGCCCGGTGAGACACACGTCTCCATCAGTTCCCCTCACCTCCCCCTCACTCACTCAGCACCCCCAGCACTGGCTGCCTTTCTGCTTCCCAACGATTCCAAGCTCTCTGGCCTTCGCTGGCACTGGTCCCTCTGCCTGGATGCTGTCCTATCTCCCTTGACATGGCCAACGCCACTCCTCCTTCCGGTCACAGCAAAACCATCCCTTCCTCCAGGAAGCCTTTCCGATTCTCTAGACCAGAGCAGCTTCCCTGGGGTTACACTTATGTCATTATGGCACTGTACACGTCCTTTTTGGGGGCAGACTCAGGACAGCTGTGATGAAACAGCCACCTACGTCATTCTTTAGTTAACGTGGGTCTCTCCCGTCCTCCCACTGGACTGTGGGGTCCCTGAGGGCCAGAGCTGCATTTCTTTCATTCTTTCTGTGTCCCCAGAGCCTGCCCAAGTCCTGGAATATGAAAGATGCTCAACCAATATTTCTGGGATGATGAAGAAAATACTAAACGTCACTGGCTCACAGGGAGAACGTCTGGGTAAGTTCAGGCCCACAGGGACTGTGTGACTTCACCAAGGCTGCAGAGCTCCTCGGGGGAGGTTGGACGCCTCAGAGGCCTCCATGGAGTCCATTGTCAAGTGGCTCAGCCACCAACACAGAGAACATAGGTGTGGGGCTGGCTCAGCTACCTCAGGAAGGCTGGACCAGGGCAGAGCCCCACTGAGGAGCCTGGGACGAGGGGCTCCCCGACAGGCCTAAGGCCCCTTTGGTGGCATGCAGAGAGTCTAGGGTTAGCTGCTTGGCTCCAGGCTTCTCACTGGGCTATATTTATTTGACTTTTTAAGTATCTATCTACATATAAATTTAAATCAGGCTTTAAATTGTTATAAAAAATAGTTAGAAGCAACAGCCTGGATGTACACAGAATGAGGCCAATGGAGCTCACGAACTGGGTTGAGGGAAAAGTATGGAACGAAATGAGATTGAGAGCACAATGCTATCTGCATGTTAAAAATAACACGCTCATCGACCAGACCACACGTTCTCAAGAATCGTAAGAACAGAAAGAGACACATTACACCCATTAAAACGGACCTTCGTGGAAGAGCAGAATGAGAGCAGGATTGCAGGAAAAAGAGACCGAATGAAGAAACTGATGAATGATGAATAAATGAACGAATAAATAAATAAGACAGGGGTCGCGCATGCGCCACGAAAGATCACGTGACTGGAACCGAGGGTGATTAATGCAACCTCTGCTCCTGATAGTCTCTCTTACTCAGATTATTTTTTTTTAAAGGCAAAATAATAAGAGCGAATACTTTGGTGGCACTTTCCAACAACTCTGTGAATTGGGGGTCCCCATCCTGTGGGTGGGGAAACTGAGACTTGGGAACCTGCTTTGTGGTTGTCCCCATAAGGAGCTTGGTTGGTCTGTGGGTCTGTCTCGGGCCACCGTCTCTTTATCTGGGACTGAGAGTTGCCTGTGTTTGCTAGGAGGACCACGGCTGCATGCGGGATCCAGCCTGGAGCTCTGCCCCGGAAGCCTCCACGTTCGGGGCCATCTGCCCTGGCCGACAGGTACCTTTCTTGGGTTGTTCTTTTCCACCATGCCGTCCCGGTCTGCATCCACATCCAGGGATATCTCTGGGGACAGACACACGAGTGAGTTGCTGAGCCTGCCAGACAGGGTGGGGCAGGGACAGGAACTGCTGTGTGATTAGGGTGCAGCTCACCTGTTTGCTTGGTCCCTGGAATGAGAGGGCCTTGTTGAGGTCATCTTATACAGCCCCCTGCCTCATACCCCTCTGCCCAATGGAGAACACCGGCAGATGCTGCGGATTACAGCTTACGGCTTCGAGAAGCGCTGTCAGGTAGATCCGGATCCCCCACCACTGCCTGGTTCCTTGGTCAATTTTGGGTGGTGGGGGATGAGCCTCACTGTACGGATCTGGGAGCCTCAGTTCAGAGAGGCCAGTTCACTGCCCAGGGTCACACAGGAGGCATTAGCGGACCTGGGGCACACACTGCAGTTGGTCTGATTCGAAGGTCATGTTTTGAAAACTGTCATGGGGTTCCTGAACTGCCTTTCCCAGCCTGCCCTGGGCACGTGTTCACATGTGTTTGAGTGTGTGTATCTTCCAGAATTCTTGCTGGTCTAGATCTCACCTCTAAAGACCGAGGACTTTACACTAGATGGGAAACTGGGTCTCCAACCGTTCTTGATTTTAGGGTGCCCAAGAGGACAGGCTGCCAGATAGAGGATCCAGGGCCGGGTCCCTGTTTATCCTTTCCCCTGGGAAAGGGACTTCCGGTGTTTTAGCTAGACCTGCTGTGGGGACAGGCTTCATGGAATCTGAGTGGGGCAGTGAAAGGAGCCCAAGATTCAGCATCGGACAGTGCTGGGTTGGAGCCCTGACTCGGTTCTTATAAGCTGTGTGACTCTGGGCAGTTTAGACAGCCTCTTTGAGTCCCAGTCTCTCTACCTGCGTGCAGAATGGGGCCCTTTCCAGTTAGAGGAGTTGCACTAATTGCAGTCGTGGGCACCACGAACATTTCGAGCTGGCTACTTCTGTGTTGAGGGGCCTGTGTGCTGTAGGATGTTAAGCAGTATCCTTCACCACGAACATTTCGAGCTGGCTACTTCTGTGTTGGGGGGGCCAGCCTGTGTGCTGTAGGATGTTTAGCAGTATCCTTGGTCTCGAGTCTCTGGATGCCAGTAACACCCCCCCAGTTGTGGTAACCAAAATGTCTCCAGATAGCGCCGAATGTCCCCAGGAAGCAAAACGACCCCCTGAATCAGAGACTAACGGGGCAGGGCAGGGGAATTGTTGGGAAGGTGATGGGAGCATCACACAGAATGAGATGAGCTGGGTCCAGGACTAGGAATTGCCCGGCGGGCTCGGCCTCACGCTGGGCATGACTTGGACTGAGATGGGAGTTGGGTGGAAATGAATGAATTCCTGGTCAGTCCCCTTGGCAGGCACACCCTCTCCCTGGACTGGGTGGGGAGGAGGGTCCTGGCTCAGGAAGGGCAGTGATGTCACCCGTCCCTGTGTGGCTTCCTCTGAGTCTGGGGATTATGTTCGAGCCCTCCGTTTGCCATAGTCTGATTCCCTCTCAACACTGAATGTGACTTTTCTGGTCTAGAAGGAGGCAGGAGAGTGGAGGCCTTAAGGCCACCTGGGCCTTGGGAGAAGTGGCACTCACTGTCCCACCTCTGCAGCCCCAATGTTGGTTAGATGCTATAAGGCATAATTATATACATGTCTCCTGTGATCCCATTCACTCAGCAAGTCACTGTTTAGCAGCTGCTGTGTCCCAGGTACCATACTGGGCGTGATGTGATCCCATTCACTCAGCAAGTCACTGTTTAGCATCTGCTAAACAGATGTGTCCCAGGTACCATACTGGGCGTGGGGACCTTTGTGGGCCATCAGGGCACAGTACCTGCTCTTGAGGAATCCTCAGTCCTACGAGATAAATGTTGCTTTTCCCATTTTACAGCGAGCAAACCCAGACTCAGAGATGTCCCCTGTCAGCAAATCGGGCTGATAATCTGAGAGGTGGGTGCTGGGTAAGGATTTTAGGGAGAAAGCAGGGAAGGCCACATATCAGCTTCTATGAAGGGGGCCAAAGGCTCAGATGGAGCAACGGTATTGAGTCTGGCTCCCACAAACTTTCCAGCTGGACGCTCACCACTGATTCAGGGAGGTCAGCTTCCTGAAGCTCCTCCCTGGGAACCAGCTGCGGACCCAGCTTCCTTAAGGAATCACGCTCCGCCTTTCAAGATAACAACCTCTCCTGTGCGTTGTGTCACTCTGCCGGCAGCAGGCACCTTCCCTGAATGTTTTCCCATCAATCACACCAGGAGGAAGGGATTATTATCCCCTACTTGGCCACCCTACCATACAGATGAGCAAACCCATGCACCAAGCAGGGCAGTCCCTAGGAAGTCCCCAGAGTGTACAGAGCCAGGTGTCCTGCTCGGCCTCTGACTCCAGACCCCTGCTCTTGGCTGTTCTCTCTACTGACTCGGGCTGACCTCCGCGCCGGGCTGTTTCCAAAAGCCAAGCCTGCCTTCAAACACCCAAGACTTGCTCCCTGAGGATCATTCCCAGAGGAGCTGGCAGCCCTATTGCCTTCACCTCCTGGCTGCAAGGTGGCACCAGTTCTCGGCTCCTGTGGTGTGTTGACGAGAGCAGTGAATCGCAGGAGATAAATCATAAAGCACTATACTGTGCTTTACTTCATTATGAATGTCTTCAATTTAGAGACTTATAAATGTAATACTTGCGCACAGTACAAAAGAAACCAAATAGTACCAAAGAAACAGCTTCTAAAGAAACAGCAGTTGACCCTCGGGCCTGTCCCCTCACCCACCTGAAGCAATCTCCATAGTACTAAATAACATGCTTATCGCTCTCTCTTGATTCATGAAACTTGGAGGGGTTTCGTTGACTTCCTGTCACGCAATCCGGGCATTGTGATTGGGCTCTCATATCACCCACCTTCCAATCTCCCCCAGAGCTTTACATCATCTCTCCTATGACCCGTGACCCATCTCCACAGTCAACTGAATGATCTTCGGGCTCCTCCCCTCCTCAAGCCATAAGCCATCACTAGAGAACTTCCTCCTTTCAAAGCTTCTCCCAGTGTCCACTTTAACTAGATTCTGATGGGATGATCGGATGGAGAGCCGGACTGCTGTGACCTGCCCAGAGCTCCGCCCTCCTGGGATGGCTCTGCCTTGGGGACGAGGGAGTGGACATCTGTTTCCGAGCCTCTGGGTTCCAGACGACAATTCTCAGAGGCTCTGAGTCCTACCTCAGCTTCCAGGAATAGCCCCAAGGTGTCAAGTGGCGCCTGGGGTGTGGGGCAGATTAATAGGAAATGTCATATTGGGTCTAAGGCAGTCTGCCCTGAGAATGCAGCCACTGAGGCCTCAGAGCCTGGACACAGAGCCATAAGCATTTTGGTGGGCTGCCATGAACAGTGACGGGGTGCCTGGCCTTTTTGCCTTACTGGGCAGCCTGGGGTGTGGTAGGGAAGATTCTCTCCCCTACAACCTAAATCTAGGCTCTGGGGAGGGGGAACAAGGAATGAGGCCCCCAGGTTGTTGCTTAAAACTCTCAAGGCTCACGTACATGGGACTACAGCAAAGAGGGTGGGACTCCAGGCCTCCCTCCTCCCCCACCCCATTTCCTCCCTTAGAGGGGAGGGTTTGCATATCGGCTCTAACTGGAGTCTTTAAGGACCTCAGGGACCAATGAGCTGAAACCCCCTTGGTTCATAGCTGGGAGAAATGGAGGTCTAGAGGGGCTAGACTACTTGTCAAGGTCACACAGCAAGGGTTTGGCAGGACTGGGACCAAGACCCAGAATCTGATTTGGCCAAAGGCACCACGAGTCTGTTCTCGAATCCCAAGAGGAAGACTGAGAGACAGTACAATTCTTCAGTTTCACCCAGCGGAGCGCATCGGCTGAGCACCTACTCCATGCCAGGCCTTCGCACACACCATCCCATCGAATCCTCGTAAGCACTGTGCAAGGGTGCTTTGTGACCCCATTTTTCAGATGGGGAAACCAAGGCTCAGAGGGGTGAGGGTCATGATGGGGCTGGAGGGGACAGAGTCAGAACTTAGCCTTATTTCTGTCTAATGATGCCGGGGTTCTTTCTGTGGGCTCAGGACAGGACTAAGGTGAAATGGGCTCAGATACGTCCTTGCCGGGGGCAGCCCCACCATCTTGGGACTTTCAGGGCGTTCCTGCCTCTGAGGTGCTGTCCCTGGATGATTACTTAGGACGTGGTGCTCGGGTACTCTTGGGGTAGATGCTCAGAGGAAGACAAAGCGTAGAAAGGTCAGCTATACCAGTAAGTACCAA